TGTTGTTTTTTTTCAGTTACAAAAATTACACCTTTGTGACAGTCTTTGGAAACTTGTACCAGGCTCAGCTCGGTGGAGTCCCAGGCACCTACCAGCTGGTGCACAGCTTCTTGAACATCAAGCTCCCGGCGCCCGTCCCTGGTCTCCAGGTACGTCCATCAGTCGCAGCAACTGGGCTAAAATAACAACGCAAACTTGCTCCAACACAGCCAGGAAACTAGCGCAGCCTCCAGTGGTTCTTCTGTTGTTTAAACTGCTTTTAGAGCAGCAGACTCTTATTCCTTCTCTAGAATTTTTTGTTAGGAAAATGGACGGTAGTCGACAAAATCACTTTGAGTTCAGAGCTTGTCCTGCAGCTTGGTGTGGTGCTCAGTAGTTCAAGTTCTAAATTCGAGAAATTATGGTCTCTTCTGGTGGTCTTTTTAGAGGTCAAGAAGCAAGTATGTAATGATGTTTCAAAAGGGCAGTAACTTAATCTCCCTGTTTTGCCTTTTCTCTCTTATTTTTTAATCACTTGTTGTAAGACGGTGAAACCAGTTGACTAAATATGTAATGAATTAATCTGAATTGTAGCCCAAGCCTTTTACTTAGGAATCTGAATAAAATCCTGCTCACCTGCACATTGCAGAAAGTGCATAGCTGTGCACCTACAAAATTACCAGATAAACAGGCAGCCTGGGGTGAAAAATTAAAAGTTAAATGAAATAGTAATAAATTATAACATCGGAGACCACATAGCTGAGTCTAGCTATCCTTTCCTTACCTCCTGAGATCCATGAGTAGTTTGGTATCTGTCTGTTTCAGTACGAATGTTTTGAATAGCTCAGTGGTCTAATCCAAATCCACATCCTGGGTGGGGAGGATGTCTGTATGGTAGCTGTGGGATTGCCGGAATCTCAGCTAGAGCTGAAATCTGGGCAAGCAGAAGAAAGCCCCGTCCTTTGCTGCTGGGATGTGCACAACTTTCACAGGACTTTAAACCTTATGACCTCTGGCTTCTGTAATCACAGAATCACAGAATCACAGACGGTCAGGGATTGGAAGGGACCTCAAAAGCTCACCCAGTCCAATCCCCCTGCCGGAGCAGGAACCCCCAGATGAGGTTACACAGGAAGGCGTCCAGGCGGGTTTTGAATGTCTGCAGAGAAGGAGACTCCACAACCTCTCTGGGCAGCCTGGGCCAGTGCTCTGTCACCCTCACTGAGAAGAAGTTTCTTCTCCAATTGAAGTGGAACCTCCTGTGTAATGCAAACAGAGTTTTTACCACCATCAGTGTGTGGGTATCAGAGCAGAAATATCTAACTAAACAAATGATAAGGATTTTAATTCAAATATGTGGCTTTTTGTAAAATTAATTATCTCTTTGTTTTCAGGATGGTGAGGTGGAAGGCCATCCTGTCTGGGCGTTGATTTACTACTGCATCCGCTGTGGGGATTTGACTGCAGCCATGCACGTGGTGAAACGGGCACAGCACCAGCTGGGAGAGTTTAAAACCTGGTTCCAGGAGTACATGCACAGTAAAGACAGGAGGTAATGGGGAACTGGAAAAGATCTTTGCAAAGGGGGGGGAATTGCTGTGGAGTGGTGAAATTATCAGTGGCTTGGTAGAAGTACAGCTCAAGTCTCTTCTGATGGTGATGGCTGCCTGGTGTTCGTTACCTACCTGCATTACGTGTAAGAGGTTTGCATATTTTTGTTTGTGGCTTTGACGTCTAGAAATCTCCATAGAGAAAGTTGTTTGAAAATATGCAAAACTTCATATTTCACAAATAATAAAATGATGTAGCTTTGCTTTTTTACCGTAGGATCTGCCTTGTGTAACGGTGGCGTACTGCATACAATAGATAGGTTTAGTCTGCTGTCACAAATCCTGTCTTTCTGTTTCCCTCGTCACTTACTTCAGTTGAATTTCCTTTGGGGAACACTTTTTACTACACCTGTTTTCATAAGAATGCCACACAGTGAAAGCAAGTGGTGTTTATTAGAGGCCTTTAGAGGCATTCACAGTCACATCTTTCTTGTGCTTATTCTCCTCTTCCAGTTTTTGCTGTCCATCACTTGACAGAGGCCACTGGCCAAACTACGATTGTGTGCTGACAAGCAGTTGAGTCAGTGCATCGTGAGGTGTGCTCTGACCTCTACAGCGATGTTTTGGGTTATCTTACAGAATCGCTCGGTTGGAAAAGCCCTCTGAGATCACTACGTCCAACCGTTCCTGTCTACCCCCTAAACCATATCCTTAAGTACCTCATCTACCTGCTCCTTAAACACATCCAGGGATGGTGACTCCACCACCTCCCTGGGCAGCCTGTTCCAGCTTCTGACGACCCTCTCAGTAAAGAACTTCCTCCTTCTCTCTAACCTGAACCTCCCTTGGCACAGCTTGGTGCCGTTTCCCCTTGTTCTATCCCCCATCACCTGGGAGAAGAGCCCAGCACCCACCTCTCCACAACCTCCCTTGAGGCAGTTGTAGGTGGTGCTGAGGTCTCCCCTCAGCCTTCTCTTCTCCAGGCTCAACAAGCCCAGTTCCCTCAGCCGCTCCTCATCAGGCTTGTTCTCCAGAGCCCTCCCCATCCTTGTGGCTCTTCTCTGAACACGCTCCAGAATCTCAACATCCTCCTTATAGTGAGGGGCTTGTTTATCTTTCTGCTTTCAATGAACTTCAAACAGGAGCATGGTCAGCTACTGCATTACACCTGTGCTTCCTTCAGGGGAATGGTGCAGTGCTAAGGTACTGGCTGAAACTGGGGGAAACTGGAGAGCCCAGGTAGGTGCCAGAACATGAACCTGTAATACCCCACCTCAGCCTATGCCAACTTCATTCGTATGTGGAAGGCCCTCATCCTGCGATGTGTTGAATGTATTTGAGCTCTTCAGATATGAAAATGTGAGCAAGAACGTACCAATTTGCATGTCTGAACCAAGCAACCAAAAATCACGTGAGAGAAGGGAAAAAATTAATGCCGTTTACCAAGTAGAATAACATCATGTTGTTCTTCTATAAATTAACCTGGTTTTTAGAGAATATCTAGGAGTGCTCATTATAATAAGATTGTTCTAGAGACCTTAGTGAAGGTACCATCATTGTTTGCATTACAAACACTAATGAGATACAGCGTAGTTGATTTATTTTGTTGTTATTATGGCTATGGAAAGGTGCTCTGCCTACAGACTTGACAAACAGTGTCTCAGTCTAGGAGAACACTTTATTGATTCAGTTCTGTTAAATTCTCTGCAAGAGGGTAAAAGAAGTAGAATGACAGAGAGCATTATGACAGTATTTAATCATACAGATGAAAGTGCTCTCCTAAAAGACTTCGTCGCACAACGACCTGCTCCCTTGTTTGGAGCTCTTTGGGTTTGTAACTGAGACTTTGTAAGCTCTCTTCTTCCAAAATGATGAAATAGCAGTCAGACAAAAATAGCTCATCTACCACAATATTAATGCACCCCTAAAAAGACTGTCATCTAACTTCTTTTTCCTGCAATGGGTATTTGAAGATGATCCTCTCTAACTTTATATGTTTTAATACATGTGTGCAAAACTTTCACCTCCAAATGGAAATAGAAAATGCAATAAATATTGGCCAGTGTCATTATGTCTTTGCTGTGAATGTGCTCCTATTTACTTTGATTTATATCCAGGGTTCCTTACGCAGGGAGAGATGGATTTCATGTCTTTTCTTTCAATCTTTTTTTGTTCCTTAGACTGTCCCCTGCCACGGAAAATAAACTGCGTCTTCATTATAGGCGAGCTCTGAGAAATAACACTGACCCGTACAAAAGGGCTGTTTATTGCATTATTGGCCGTTGTGACATTACAGATAACCAGAGTGAAGTTGCTGATAAAACAGAAGATTATCTTTGGCTAAAAGTAAGTCTGGGGTCGGGGTCGTGGTGCTGTTTGTTGGTTTTATTTTTGGGGTTTATTTTGAAGAACAAGGCTAAATGGTATTGCATTTCTGCACTGCTCTGCTAACCTCCCTGCTTGTAGCTCTGGTGTTCTCCATCGGTGTGATGCAGGGACTTGACCTTGCAGATAGTGACAGGCTGGGAACCTGAGTCCCAGGGCTGCTCTGTTATCCGTGGTGTATCAGATGTTAATTTGGGGACACTTCTCTTTGGAAGGGTCGTGTTCTTCATTTGACACTGATCTTTGTCAGCTGTTTTTACAAGTAGTGTTGGCTTGCTACAGCGAGGATCCTTTGAATCTTCCTTTCTGGATGGATTATGGCTGAAATGTTGGTGTCAGCTGGCAGAAGATGACGCTATCAATGTCTCTGTAGTCCCAAGACCTTACATTTTGGTGGGGGCATGATAGATACTGGTCAGTACTCATTTCTCCCCTTTATCAGAAAGGGGGAGTAGAATGATGTATTTGTTACAACTGGGTAAAATTACGTTGCTTTTAATTATTGCTTAATGAGTATTCAGAGTCCCAGCATCAAAGGTTTGGTGACATGGACGGATACAGAAGAACCCCAGGGTTATATCTGCATGGATTCCTGCTAAAAAAAACCTTCTCGGCAATGGATGGACCTGATGGTGTGACTAGAAGTGTTTTCTAGTCAGTTGGTCAAATCCTAGAAGGGGCTTCAGATGAAATTAGTATCTTCTGTGCCAGGTGAAGGTGAAATATCTGTGCTTCATTTTTTGGATGTGTTTTTTAGCTGAACCAAGTGTGTTTTGATGACGATGGTGTGAGTTCCCCACAAGACCGACTAACGTTATCCCAGTTCCAGAAGCAGCTGCTAGAAGATTATGGTAAGAAACCTTGAAGAGATGTGTTACTTTGGGCTCTGTTCTTCTGCTTAGGGCACTTTCCAACTGTTACTACATAAATCTCAGACTCCACATAAAACCCTGTAGCTCTCCACAGGCACCTTGAGGGTGTTCCTGCACAGCCTGCTTCTCTGGAGTGACGGCAGACTTCAGGAAGAGATGAATGAGTCCTGCGTGCTCCCAGCAATCCAGAGAGTGAATATTCATCTGTGAACATCGCTGCTGCTTTTTGTACTTTATCCATACCAAATGAGGGATTGCCTTGTCTCGTGATAAACACGCTAAGGTCTTCTAGCGAAACTTCCAACATTTTGAATACCAACCAAAAAAGCAATCTTTACCTAATGTAGGCATGACTTTCCGAGGCTTTTCTCTGTGCGTATCCATTGTTCATTGCTTCCTTTAAATTAGTGTTGCAGGTAATTTTCTGGGGACCCAAGTCACAGTTCATTCCATTTTAGAAAGTTTTAAGAACATCCACAACGCAAGAGAGCACCATTTCCCATAATCACCTTCTGATCAATCAAAATTAGGTCACTTAAACTATCCAAAACACACAGAATTTGACTTTCCACAGCCTCCTGGTTTGCAACATTGCTCACACCCAGATAAAAATGGGTGGAAAAGCAATACAGTAAGCTACCGTTGATATCACTGAGTAGGAAAACTCAGGTTTTTAATGTTATTTGTACCACTTGGCATAAGTATAAATGAAGACAAAAGTTGTGGTCTTTGGTAGACTGTAATAGATGTTTGAGAGTCGATGGTTCGTTGTCTGAGAAGAACAAAGGAACTTTTTTGAGTAACTCTTTATTGTCTTTTGCTTCCTGAGTACGTTTTTATGTTGTGGGCTTCCATGATGTATTTGCAGTGAAACAGTGACAGACAAGCCACTGGTGTGTGATTAGGTATCCAGTTGGTGGTTATTTCTGTTGGCACCGAATAAACAATGGTGATGCACAGTGACAGGAAGCACTGTCAGTGATCTCTGCAGAATCATTTTCACTTATGCTCTCTGTGTGTGTGTTTGTGTGTGTGTGTTGTGTTTTTTTTTTCAGGTGAATCCCATTTTGCAGTGAACCAGCAGCCTTTCCTCTACTTCCAAGTATTGTTCTTGACAGCACAGTTTGAAGCTGCAATTGCTTTTCTCTTCCGGACAGAGCGCTTGCGTTGTCATGCTGTTCATGTTGCGTTGGTCTTGTTTGAGTTAAAATTGCTCCTGAAATCGTCTGGGCAGAGTGCACAGCTGTGTAAGTCCTGCACATTTAATTTACAGTAAAGGAATCTTTTCTGAGCCCGTAGAGTACCCTGTAAACACTGCAGGTCTACGTAACTGATCAAACTAGTGCATTTATCAGAACAAACTCCTAGAAGCTCATTGGTTTAGTTGTGTTCGAGCTCTGGATCATGGCTCTGACTAATTTGAGAGGAAGATCAGAGCAACATTTCCTGGCCTTCGATGCTCTGATGGTATTTTTTCTCTGACATTGCAGTAAGCCACGAGGCCGGTGACCCTCCTGGCGTCAGGCGTCTAAATTTTGTGCGGCTTTTGATGCTTTACACCCGTAAGTTTGAATCAACGGATCCCAGGGAAGCTCTGCAGTATTTTTACTTCCTCAGGTAGGAGCTAATATATGTCTCTAAACTTTCTCCTGGTTATTATTGCTTAATTATTCCTATCTGGGAAGTCCTCAGAAACAGAACCTTCCTCCTTCCTTTTCCTTTGTAGGAATGAGAAGGACAGCCAAGGAGAGAATATGTTCTTGCGTTGTGTTAGCGAACTGGTCATTGAAAGCAGAGAGGTATGTTTGGCAATGTCTTGCCTTTCTCACTTAAACTGAAATTAATTTCTTCATTGAAGTCTTTATTAGGCAGGGCAGTCTTAAACAGGTCTTTACTTTTTCTGCCTGGTGCAGACCTAGGTGACGAGAGATCTCCCAATGGCCGTACATTTAAGATATTTAATCACGTCTTTTTGCCTGTTATTTACGTACAGATAATTTTGACACTGGTCACTGGTTTTTATCTGTGACTGCATCTTTGTACTTAGTAAATAAATTGTGAAATACGTGCAGTTAATCTCTCTGGTTTTGTTTCCTTTTTTCTTTCTTTGCGTCTGTGTGGGTGTAGTTTGACATGATTCTTGGAAAGCTGGAAAACGATGGTAGCAGGAAGGTGAGTTGGCAATTTATATTTTACATCAAAAGTGCAAACCAGGTGTGATTTTCAAAGTGGTCTTGAGGCTATCTTGCTTTTCTTCATTTTTCACTGACCAAATGATTCCTGTTGAATACCTATGAGTTCTCCAGGTATGAGATTTTTACAGAATAGTCTGTGCCCTGCTCTAACAGAAGGAAGGTCAGGAACCGCAGGGCAAACTGTCTCTGTGGACAGCTGGAGGAACTAAAGAAACAAATGGCATCAGGTAACTTCAGTGAGGCCAGAATTTCATCTTTACGGTAGTAAATGCAAATTAGTGCACATGAATGGCTTGTTTGTAAGTGGGTGTGAGATTCTGCTGCTAACTGAGGTGTACGTGTGAAAACTCTGTATGACATTGTTCTCATTCGCCTCAGAGGAGAAATGCTCTGCAGGCCATTAAAAAATCTTGTAATTAGGAGAGCAGGGGCTATCAGACCACGGGTACAGCCATAACTGATCTGTCCTCTCCATACAGATGAGGGTAGGTATAGGATCAAAGATCAGCCGTTTTCAGTTGTGATGGATGGATCTTGCTTCTGCTGTAAAAGCAGCAATCTCAAAGTAAAACGTGAGCTTACACAGTCAAAAGGTAAAGGAAACCTTTGGGTTTTATGTGAAAAGAGGGGAGTGCACGCTAGTGATTAAAATTTTAAATAAATCAATAAAGTTTTAATGTTTGCTGGAGAAACTTTGGCAGCTTTCTGTGTAAAGCAGGCTCCAGAACTGTTGAAATCTTAATTTTAAGATTAGGGCTTATGCTGCAATCATTGCTACTGTAAAAGAAAAAAAAAAGTTTATTTCTGGCAGGATTTTCCTGTAGGTGTTGTTCTTCTGTCAGTTGAAAAGCAGTGTGAGATTGCACACACGAGAACGAGCGGACTCGGTAATCTTTACAAATATTTTTTAGATTTTACAGCTCTTTTTAAGATGGACAGATTTTAAATTATACCATGAATGGTGAATTCTATGTAGCTGTATTCTTGTGTTTCTTTGATATGAAACCAGCAATCTTAGTTTCAAAATAACTTCTTCTAGGTTTTATAGTCTTTATTTTTACATCCTCAACTACAATGAAATACTTTCCAGATATCCTTGATTCTTTCCTTTCTTTTAATCTACTTGTGTTGTTTGTTTTTAGCTTCTTGTCGCCCTTCCATTTACCTGTGTAAGATTTCCCTTGTAGCCTGTTGTGCCAGTACACCCAAACAGCACCTCTGGAGACCCTGGCACGTGTTATGGTGAAGTCTTTTGTGTTTTCTGTAACGTGTCACCAGCAGTTCAAATAAGTTAGGATTTGACCTGTTATCTGGGTCATTTGGAATGAATCAGGAACCACAGATGTCTCAGTGCTGATCCACTTTGGAGAATGTCTCTCTCACAAGAGCTCTTTCTATTTTTAATGTGTCTCTTTTGCACGTTCCCATGGAAATGTACAGGCCATTCTAATCATAATCCAACATGTGAAATATTCATTGCCTTGACAGAATATTCAGGAGTTTTAAAGCATTCTGATTTCTCTTCTCTCCTTTTGTTTCTGTCTCACCTCTTTAGCCTGGAGTGATAGACAAGTTTACAAGTGACACAAAACCCATCATTAACAAAGTGGCTTCTGCAGCAGAAAATAAAGGGTTATTTGAAGAAGCTGCAAAACTCTATGAGCTTGCAAAGGTAAAGTATCTTCTACGTGCTGCCTTAAATATGTACCCAGTTCACCATTTTTTCCAAACATTTTCCCTGTAATTAGGAGGTAAAATTTAATCTCAGAGATTGAATTGCCTTTATTCAAGCAGATTATTTCTGCCGAGCCATTGGCTGCAGGGAGAGAGAGGGGTTCCCTGGACAAACTCAGATGGATTATGCTCCATTCTGGTTTAAAACATCCTGGTTCTTGATCAATGTGGTCTTCGAAGAGATTGCCTCATGCATGATTTAATTCTGTCTAGTGAAGTTACTGCCCTGGAGTGCTCTCTTCCAATTTCATAAATGTTGAAGTCTAAAATAGTTGGGCTTTATAGTGAGTACTCTGAATTCCTTTTGAAATAGGTTTGAAATAAAAGTGGATGCAACTGCAGCCATTGTTTTAGAGGGGAAAAATAGGCGAAAACACTTTTTCACATGAGCCAGCAGCATTATGTTGCTCACAGCTAATGTGATTTTTATGGGAGGGGCAAGTTTCTGAGCTTGCATTAGGCACCACTGCAGAAGACCTTTTTGCTTTGTCAGTGAGCTTAAAAAACTTAGTCTCATCGCGCTCCTTTTATTTTTTGTGTGTACCTTTAATGCCAACAGAACCCTGACAAAGTTTTAGAGCTGATGAACAAGCTCCTCAGTCCCGTCGTTCCCCAGATCGGCACTCCCCAGTCGAACAAAGAGCGGCTGAAGAACATGGCCCATTCCATTGCTGAGAGGTAAGACAAGGGGGCAGGAGCGGGTGACTCAGACCTGACCTGGGGTTTAGTTCAGTGGCTGTTAGTTCTTGACATTGTTTCTGCTGGCTGGACCATGGCATCCACAGCAACACATTGAGGACGACAGAGAAGAGGTCAGAATTTACCCTGTCCTGCTGGTGGCGTGCAGTACTGAAACCAGAAAAGGTCATCTTCAGGTCAGGTAAATTTGGCAAGTTTTATCTGTGAACCAGGAAAAGAGAATTGCAGGATTGCCAGCTGGAGACAGTCTGTTAAGGAGCAGTAAATACAACGAACTCAATGTTTTAGTTTAAAGCAAAATGTCCTAACAGTTGCAGAAACATTGCACACAGTTCACTTTGAAAGAGTTTTGAGAGCTTGAAAGAGTATTGAGAGTATTTGAGAGTTTGAAAGAGTATTGAGAGCTGCAAACCCAGTAATTCTGAGCCACAACAGCAGAGAAGTGAGTTCAGTAGCTGCCTGAAAACTTTATTTCACTACTCCTTTAATGAAAGCTGAAAAGGGAACATTGAAGCTGAGGTGTGTGTACGGCTAGTGTAAGGAGTGGACCTCATTTCCACAGCCTGATACTTTAGGAAAGTGCCGTGTGGTGTTTAGAAAAAAATAAAAGAGAAATGGAGGTGACCAAAAGGAATGTCAGGTTAGAGATAAGGAGGAAGTTCTTTCCTGAGAGGGTCGTCAGAAGCTGGAACAGGCTGCCCAGGGAGGTGGTGGAGTCACCATCCCTGGATGTGTTTAAGGAGCGGGTAGACGAGGTACTTAGGGATATGGTTTAGGGGGTAGACAGGAGCGGTTGGACGTGATGATCTCAGAGGGCTTTTCCAACCGAGCCATTCTGTGATTCTGTGTCACCTGCGGTGTTGGTGTGCTAATTAGGGGGTGTGTTTGAGAGACATCACTGCTCAAGATTCATTAGCAACTAGAGGTCAGGAAAAACCTGCGTCTGTAAGGTTGCGATTGCGAAATAGCTTTGGGATGTTTCAAATCATCTTTTGCTGCGTCTTGTCACAGTGACTGCCATGGACAATTCCTGTATTGCACTAGAGCAAAACGTGTGTAGCTGTGAGAAATGTCTTACTGCTTTTCCCCAGCCATTCTGGTGGGCAGAGAATAAAAATAAACCAAGCGCGCCTGCTGGCACATCGAAATTGGGAGTACAAATACAGAAATATGTTGATTTCAGTCAGAGGCCTTTGCCTTCCTTCTTCTGACAAGTGGCATTTGCCAGTCCCTCCTTCAGTCAGCCTTTCCTTCATTTAGCCAGGCTGCAGACAGAGTGAAAATTGGTGCCATATTGGCTTAGCAAGTGACCCATTTGGTAGCAGACGTTAAGGAGAGTTAAACCTGTGGCGTGGGCTTAAGGTTCAGCAAAGGCTGTTACGAGCTTTGTTTTGCTGCTTGCTTTGATCTGCGTGAGAGCGCTAAATGTTACTGTTCAGTAATGCCACGTTACAGCTGCAAGCCTTCGTGACTGCAAAGCCAGAGCAGTTCTGATCAGCTCATCTTCTTGCCAATTAAATGTCAGACGGGGCTCTTCCTCGTGTGCCGTACTGCAGACAGTACCGCAGCGATGCAGCTTTTCTGCTGGGCCTTCTTGTGCTGTTTCTGGAACAGGGGAGGCACAAGGCCAAGAGGCTCTCTGGCTTCCTCCTCTGCAGCAGCACGGGGCATGGGGTGTACCATGCACTTGACCGCTCGTACTCTTACCTCGAGGTAGGAGCCCCTTTCTGACCTCGTGCTGTTAGGAGCAAGAGCAGACAGCCCTCCAGTTCTCCTCCTAGCAAGTGTAGCTAGAGGGAGCGTGTAGAAGCATCTGATCCATTTACTGTCTTAACTCCTTGCCCAAAGCAAGCAGTTGTGCTGGAGAATTGTCTGCTGTGAAACTGTGTGGTAAACGTACTCGTACAGCGCTTGCCTTGCAGGTCTCCGGTTCCTGTCGCTGTTTTCCCTGTAAATACAGGAAGTGTACGCATTAAAAAGGAAACAAATGGCTAGATTTGATGGAAGACTGAAAATGAGTAAGAGTGGGTTTTAAAAGCCACAACCTGTGAAAATTCTGCCTTCCGGTTAAGGAAAATTAAAGCTGTCCTTTGTTAAATGCCTTCTGTCCTTGCGCTTGATGCCTCCACTTCCAAGAACTACAAGTACACATTTACAAAAGGTCGCAGTTTTGCGCAATAAAATTGTAAACCCATTTCTTTCAGGTACAAAGCTCAGGGGATAAGTGCAAAGAAATCCATTGACTCCACGTTCTACCTTCTGCTAGACTTGATCACGTTTTTTGATGAATATCACGCCGGTCACATTGACAGGGCCTTTGATGTAAGTTTGAAGAGCTGTGTTTGAAGTGCAGCCTTTCCTAATGCCCTTGAAAGCCCAGAATGTCTCAAATAACATCACTTAAAAGGAAAAATTATGTTTAATGAGTTAGAAGGTGCTGCAGTGCTGTAGGAATTTAAAAATGTTTCTTCTCTATTGATTGATGATCGGGAAGATCTTTCTGGAGCTATTTTGTAGATACTGAACAAAGGATTCCTGCTACTTAACGAAGTGAGGAGATAAGCCAATAAATAACAATGAGATGACTTCTCTTGAGTGGAATCAGGAGCATTTCGTTGACACTTCAAGACCGTACTTTATTAGTGTGTGGTGCACAGAACAGTGATTATCTACCCTAATTCCTGCTTTTCTTTTTGAAGATTATTGAACGCCTCAAGCTTGTACCTCTAAGCCAAGATTGCGTAAAGGAGAGAGTTGCTGCCTTCCGGAATTTCACCGATGAAGTGAGTGATACCTCTTGGTTTTTGCTTTGTTAAAAGCATCTTAAAACCGTGTCACCTCATTGTTCTTATTCTTTAATGGGGAAATAGGATGGAATTGGTTTGCATTTGTACAAGCAGGCTCTTGGCGTGCAACTTTTTCTCTCCAGCTCTCTGGAGCAGGAGAATTCCCTGTCCAGAAATCCTGTCTGCAGTCTGCAGAAGGCACCTACAGATCTCAGTCTTTCTGAACTTCTCGAGTTTGATTCAAGAATTTGGAATATTGAAAACTTTCAACTATGCTGCTGACTTGGTTCTCCTGTGCGGTCACCTCAGCATTTGTAGGGTCTTGCGTTTCCTTCCCTCCACGTTAGAGGTGCTCGTGTGTTTGGGTGTTAGCAGATGAAGCACGTAAAGCACTCTAGCAGTCTGTTACTGCTCTTGAACTGCTCTAACTGGAGGGTGTCGCTTCTCTTTTTAGACAGTGTTTGTGCATATTTGGGTGCTTTGGAGTTTCTTGTTTCCAGGTGCACTGAGTTTTTCTGAACTGTTGTTGTCAAACATGAAGCTGCAGCCATTGTACACATCTGTCCCAAAAGTCTGGGTAGCGTTTTCTGCTGGAAGGTGCAGTCGTGGCAGGGGTAACCATTAAATGTATGACCGTTATATGAGTGAAGATCAACCATAACTTTTGTTGCTTGGTTTTCAGATGTTGTACAGCAAGGGCAATGACTGTCAACCTGCTCTTCATTGCAATATGCCTTTTCTTTTTCTTATTCTTTATGTAGATCAGGCACAATTTATCTGAGGTCCTGCTTGCAACCATGAATATTTTATTCACCCAGTATAAGAGGATGAAAGGCACGAGCCCAGCCACTCCTGCCAGACCTCAGCGGGTAATGGAAGACAGAGATTCGGTAAGATTTTAAACCTCACTATCTGACAAACTTTCCTAGTTCCACAATTTCAAGGGATTGGATTTTAAGTAACTGTCAATCTCTAATTGTCTTTGCTTTTGACTAGCTAGCTTGTTCAATTAGAGTCCCGAGACTGGTCTCATAACTTCAGCTTTGTGTTAAAAGAAAGGATATTGCTCTAAGTGGCACTGAGCTAATTAAGATATATTACACTATATATCCAACTCCTAGCAAGAGAAAACAGGTGCTCAGTTTGCTTTGTGGTGGGATCTTAGTTAATAGATGTGGACAGCGCAGTGTCTCTAGGATGGTTGGTGTCGCTGCCTCGACAACTGAGCTGTTGTTTCTCAGGAACCCGATTTCCACTCTCTTCATTTGAGTTAGTGCCCTGCTCATGCAAAACTGATCGCTGGTGGAAAGGCCTTCCTTGACTCCTCTTCTTGGCTTGCTTCCACAGTGACATGGGCTGACATTTTCAAAGTGTCCCTGGGCAACACACCAAGATGCTCAAGCACATTCACTTGGTGAATGGCTGTAGCAGTTTGCTGCAGTGAGCAGCTCCCAGGTGCCGTGGTGCTTGGTCTGCCTGCCTGCTCCGAGTGGCTGACGGCGGTGGGTTTGAGTTCACCGCTAGTTTGTGCTGAAGCATTTCCCCCACTCGCTGATAGGAGCCCACACCTTTGCCAAACCACAAAATAGGCACCACTTAAAGGGCTCAGCCGGATTTGTGGGCACTTGCCTGTCGATGTGCTGTGTTGAGCAGAAGGGTTCTGTGCTTCGCTGTTGTCGCGTTTGGTCTTGTAGCTCTCATTAAGTTCAAGCTGCCACAGGCACTTGAAAACCAAGGCCAAAGCACTCGTTTCGTCTTGCAGATTAGGAAATAAATATCAACCCCTTTGGAGAGTGAAAACCCACTTGGGCCACAGCCAGCTTTATTCCAGGCTCTAGTCATCTGCAAAAGTGCTTTTGATCTGTAAACTGCCATATTGGTGAAAGTCTTAGAGCATTTTTAAATTATATCAGAAAATGAAAGGCTCAAGTAACGTCAAAGCTTTTGTCTTCGGGGTAGTCTGTGTGTGAGCTATGGGATCCTGCCTTGCTACTACGTGGCTACTCTAGATCTGCAGTGTTGGAGAAGGATGCGTGCTGCTTGGGCATCTCCCACCTTAAATTCTCCACGTGCGAAGAAGTTGGAGGCTAACGCAAGCTGTTACCTGCTCTGAGTGTTCACAGGGTTGGCACTGAGCACAACACTGAGCACTTAGCTCCTTGCTTTCCAAGTGAGCTGTTTATTTTGGTTTTGTGATTTCAGTTCTGTGCCTTGCGTAGCAGCATTTACCGTCTCCATAGGGGTGTAATGCTGTCAGGTGTCATCTCAGTGTGAATGGCCTACCAGAGAGTGCTGGGCTGATTGGCAATGGGATCAGCACCTTTGCTGGCAGGAGTCTGTGTCGAAGGAAGCCACCATCTCATCGTACCATATCCACAGCGTGCTCAGTAAAACTGCCCTGCCCTCTCATGCTGTTACAGTTGTGGAGATGAGCTGATGATGTACCTTACTAAAAACCTTTCAAAGTTTTTTGTTTTCTTTTATTCAGGCTTCTGTAAATTGAGCTTCTGCCCTTGTGGTGGCATCTCCTGGCAGCAGGGTACCAGTGGTAGTGGAGACACGGGGTTTCAGAGTCCTGGATCTCTGGCTGCTGTGTGTAATAAAAGCGGTGCTCAACCATCGGAGAGGAGAGGTGGCTGCTGTCTCTGCACTCAGGGTGGTGACACGAGAGCAGCTGTGTGTAATGTCAGAAGGGAGCAGACATCTCCCAGTGTAGGATCAGCTAGAGAGGAAAAACCTACAGCTCTGTAACAGCTGCCTGCACGATTTGTGTGCACAGAAAAATACCCCGCATGGGTACGTGGAAGGTAGGGTAAGCATAGCTTTAGCATGTGTCCCCTTTTTTCTTACCCTGGGCAATTTCCTCTAAGACTCTGGGAGCAGGGAATCCAGATCGTTCCAGTTTCCCTTTCTGGGAAGCCACTCAGGAGATTCTAGAGGTGGGAAGAAAATAGGGCATTTCAAATGTGAGACGAGGGGGGTTTCTTCAGCAAAATCTCCCTCGTTCACCTGGAGAGCGGTTGCAGATCTGCAGGTGGTGTTTGGCAAGAATTTTTCTTTTGAACTTCCTTGAGAGAAAGGCAGCTTTTCCTTTTTCCATGGGGAAGCAAATGTCAGGGGAAGTCACTAACGCTGCAGATCTTCCAGAAGCTTTAACGACCTCAGCACATTGCCCGGGAGACAGCGCAAGTGAAAAATGCCCTTTCCTTGAGCAGGTCTCTGAAATCCCTGGATTTTCTCTAGATCTGTGAAAGCAGACAGATTCAAGTCCCTCTGTTCATCAGAAGAATTTGAAAACAGCGGGTCGGAGCTGTTCCTAAGTCTGAGGCTTATTCCACGTAGCAGGGAACAGAGTTGCCCAGAGCAGGGACTCCTGGCTCTTGAGTTTGCCCTGTGGCACCAAGCGTTGCTCTGAGGATGCCCTGGGGGGAACCCTGCTGTAATGGGCAGGGAGTAGAGGGGGTTTGGCAGGAACAGTGTGGACCTGGCAGCAAGGGCAGGGTGGAGAGGAGCAGTACCTCTGGAAACCCCTGAACCCAGCAATGCTGCCTGCTGGAACAGCTCCTGCCCCACTTGAGAGATGAAATGGGCTTTATTTAGGAGTGGTCGGGTGCGGGGTCAGAGCTGGGGTTTGTGCACTGTGTTTATTTCCAGTTAATTTTACACACCTAAGCTGTGTTTTGAGTCTTTTTTTGAATGTATAGACATTAATTAGTTTAGGGAATGAGGGAGCAACGTCCTGTCCCACTCGGCCTGATCCATTTTGTCAGATTGTGGGCAGAGATTGCAGCAATCCCTGGACTGCAGAGCCAGACACCGTGAGTGCATGACAGCAATGTCGTGCTCCCTGCCCCAGTCCAGGATGGTGAACTCTGGGGAGCAGCCCCGGGGCATTATCTTGGTGGCAAAATTAGGTCAGGAAAGGAAATTAATTATTTGTATTATTATTTTTTTTATTATTTGCGGACTTACTTTGAACTGCAGGTGACTCTAACATTCGTTAAGTAATTACAGCCAACAGAACATCTACACCTCCAGGCCGCTCTTGACCTCTGCAGACCTGTGATCGTTCCTCCTGCAGCACTGCTGCTTGCAACCTGTCATGTTCAGTTTTAAAAACAGGCCAGCTCTAGCATCACTGTGACTGAGCAGGCAAAGAGAACAGTAACTTGCACTGCTCCTAAGCCTGCCTTAGTCACAGTGAGAGCTTTTGCCTCTTTCATTCCAACAAGTCAGACACCTTGACGTGCTTTTTTCCCCCTCTGCCACCCGTTTTGACCTCCACTGAAAGGCAGCAGCTCAGACTTGACTGCACGACCTCTCTGTGTAACAGGTTTGGAAGCAGACTGAAGTGTTGACCAGGACTGGACCAGAACAAGTGATTTTCAGGCCTCCTCGTTAATTAGCCCATGTTAACCAGTTAGTAACTTCCAGCAAGGGATCCTGTCCTGGGAGCTTGTAGTAACTGGGTCAGTCTCTGTTGTGCTGCTGACTGCAGAGGCCCGCTGGTTTGCAGTGCTGCCTTCTGGCATCTCAGTGCTAAAGAAAACCCGCTGTCCTGCTCTGTGTGAAGGGTTTTGGCGTGGCTGAAGCAGTAGCATTTAGACATTGTCTGGAAACAAACGTCGTGGATGAGCATCCTGGGTTAACGGGCTTCGGTCGCTTCTCGGTTTGTGAATTGCTGCTCTCAGACTTACCATCCATGTGCCTGCAACAGTCAAAGCTGCTTCAGCTGTTCCTGCAGTCAGGAGGTCAAAGGAAGACTTGAGCAGTGGGATCTTCCAATACAACCATTTAGAGATGCTTAATATTTAGGAAGAAAACACTGTGAGTGATCAAAACAGTCAGTCCGCACAGTTTTCCATAAAGATTTGGGCTTTATTCTCGTTACCAGAATTATTTTCCTTTTAATTTATTAACTGCTTTAATAAAAGGTTATTTGTGAATTCCTTCAGCTGTTGTGTAGCCATCTGGTGTGTTTGAAGGGGTCTGGTTGCTTTAGGTTACTCTGAATGTACTTGGTCCATTTGCTTTCGTGGTGCTAGGGAGTGAGGAGCTGCAAGGATGGCAGTGTTGGAGGTGGTGTGAGAGACTTCCAGCTTAATGGTTGGCGAAGGAAATAACTGGATTTCTTTCCAAATGCAGAGATCTGTTACCCAGAGAGCACCTCTGAGAAATGAAGCTGATATTTGCTTGTTTGAAAGGGCAGGGGTTTAACTGGTGTCTAACCCAGCTCTCGTCGCGGGGTGTTTTTTTGATCCTGAAGTAACTGTCCTTTATTCTTCTGGTTTTTAGCAACTTCGCTCTCAAGCTCGCGCCCTGATAACGTTTGCTGGAATGATCCCGTACAGAACGTCGGGAGACACGAACGCAAGACTGGTGCAAATGGAGGTGCTCATGAATTAGCACAGCAGCTTTTGCGCAGGGCCGCAGCAGCCCGAGCCCGTCCATAGTGCGCTCAGGGGGTGGGACCAGGATCGGTTTGTATTCTGTATTTTTGTTGATGGAAATAAATTTCTTTGAGTTCTCTTTGGTTTTGACATTTTCATTTTCACCTATTTATTTTTTTTTGTGTGTGTGTGTGTGTTTTATGGTTTTGTTCACTTTATTTTAAGTTGGTTTGTATGTAGACAGTCCTTCTTAAGGAGTTAATGGGCCATGCAGAGAAAGAAGCTGTGGTCCTGCAGTGGGGAGCAGTTTTATAGCAGAAGTGCTGAAGACGACCTTGGATTCAATGCTTGCTGAACATACAGCTTGGGAACTTCAGCATTTTTTGCTTTTTGAGTGCATGTTGAATGTTGAAAGCCTGTTTATGATGCACCACACGTGACTGCTGTCTGTCCGTAACGCTGTCTTGCATGGCGTGTGTGTTTGCGGTACCGACGAGCTCTGTGTGCTGCAGGGATTCGTTAACGCTTAACGAAGTTTAAGCTCTGGGGTTGGTGTCTCAGATTTGTGCAACTCTGCAAATCCTGGAGCTCTGCTGGAAGCTTTTGCAGGGCGGCTGGAATTGGGAACAGGCACCTTTTGGTAGGAGAGACTTTTGTGATCAACACATGGGGTTTCAGCCAGTTGCATTCAAAATGATTTCCCCAGGAGAAGTAGGGAAGCTGACCAGAGATGCCCAAGTGTGGGTGCACTGGGCACGGGTGGATATTGCTGTTGGTTTAGTGCGAAACCCAAGTCCTGTTGAAGCGAGGGGCATGAAAAAATGGCTGTAACTGTTCTGAGCTACAGTTAAATCAGCGTGAATGCCCAGGGAGTATGTTGTATTATGAGTTCTTCTCCTTAATGTAGTTGCCTGTCTTTGAAATGAAATGAAACGAAACGAAAGGAGTTTTGGTGGTTGCTCTTATTGCTCCCATGCCGCGTCCCTCTGCCCCGCTGCTGTCTCACCTCACGCTGTTTGTGTTATCGGGGTTCGAGAGCACGTGTGGCTCTGGATACAGCACAGGGCACGAAACGCGGGGGTAGATTTCAACCTCTGCATGTTAATAGCTGTCGCGGGAGAGAATTCATCTCCATTTCGCAGTGTTTAAATTGAACGGCACAGAGGGACATTTGACTGACTTGATGACAATTTCCTAATTACTTTTTCCACTAGAAATGTTGTAGCATAAATTTTGCCAGCCTGTTGGACAGGGAGCAAAGGGATGGCTTGTCAAGCCACCCAAAAACGTGTCTCATGGCATTAGCAAAGGGACTGCTGAGGCCCCCAGGCCATAGAGCAGGGATTGTGTGGCCCTGAGGAGTCCTGTAGCGCATTCAAGATGGTTTCAACTAAAGACTGAGAGACCTGGACGACGCCCTGGAAGTAAAGGGGATTTGGTGAGTTACTCGAGAGTTATGTGGGGAGCAGAATTGCATTACCTAACGAAATGTCACCAGGTGAGTGTGGAAAGCCTTATTGGGTATTAACATTACTGGCATATTTGTGTGGGAATGCTTCTTGGTACGTCTCAGCTGAAAATTCATCCAATCCCCTAGAGAACAGTCCCCAGAAAGCAGGCGGCGGAGCCAGGTGTCTCTCCTGATGCTTGCAGACAGCGCTGGTGGGGCCGGGCCTGCCCCGTGCACGTCCTGCAGGACAGACCCTGCTCCCGAGCTTCTCTTGCCGGTGCTCAGCCCGACCCCGAGTGTCCTCCTGGCATCAAACCACCTCCTGTACAGAGGCTGGCGAGGCTGTGCCTGTCCTCAGGCAACTGCTGGCATCCGTTTGGGAAGGGTGAAGGCCCCCGCTGTATTTCCCTCTCCCTCTCCTCCACCCTTTGTGTGGGGACAGAAATCCCTTGGAGCTCGGCTCTTACCACTGCCTTTTGCAGGACCTTGTTCTGCTGTCGTGCTGCCTCCCTGGCATGTTCTTGTTGTCAGACATTGAACCTAGGAACCTTTTCAAGACAGAGAGTTGCCCTTTTTCTCTCTGCCTTTTGAGGACGGCTGTGGCAGATGCTTTTTGGTGCTTCACAGCCTTCACGGGTGTTGGTAGAAGAGAAAATTGGTGGCTGCATGCAGTTTGCTCGGTGGTTGTACCTCCAGCCTCTGATCTAAGCAGAAACTGAATTATTTCATGCTTTGCAAAGCCCAGATGGTCCTTCTGTGGTGGGTGGACAGAGGAAATAAACCCCAGGGAGTCAGCTCTGGGACTAACCCTGGAAAGGTAAGGTCCAGCCCTGTTTCGGGCAAGAGGCTGTAACAGAAGGTGCTACAGGTAGTTGGAATTAAATTATTTCTTGCTGATTGCCCTGTGATTTCTTCTTGCTCCTGTGCAGGTTGCGAATGTTGCAGCTCATCGTCTTCCCACATTCCCAAGAGCAGCGGGTTCCAGCTCCGTGCCTAGGCCTGGCTCTGGCAAACCTGGCTCTCCTCTGCACGACTGTGAGGGCTTTGCTGCACTGAGGTAGACGCTGACGCACGCTCTGGTGCTTTGCTGAGTCGGGCACCCTCGTGGTGTTCCGGATGTTGCTGTTTTCCCTCCACCCCACGTTGATTCTGCTGGGGAGAACAACCCGGTCCTGCTCCCTCGGGTTTCTGACCAGCAGATGTGCTGCTGCTGCAGCTAAAGTCATAATCCTTTATACCTTTGCACTCCAGCTTTACTGATGCGCAGGCTTAGTCTTGGGTTTCTAAACATTTCATCTGCTCAAAGGGCTTTTTGGGGTGTCCCTGAACTCTTGTGTTTGGAGCAGCCTGCTCTAAGGTGGTGTCACTAAGCACTCCCCTTACAGCAGGGAGTAGTGCCTGCTTGCACAGCGTGGTGCTGTCCAGGACATGACGAGAGCTCCCTCAGTTCTCCTCATGCACAAAGAGCTTCAGTCAGCTTGGGCTGCCTCGAGCAGGTCAGGTTTTGTGATATTTTGAAATTTTGTGACAATTTTGGTACCCTAAGGGAGTTTGAGTCAAGTGCAGCTCATGCATTCCTACCCTTCTGCCTTGCCTTGGATTTCCCCACCGACTGCAGGTCCCGCGTCTCGATCCTGACGTTCTGTTGTGTTTTCCAGACCCTCTGGCTGGAGCTGCTGCGTGAGGGGGCTCCTCCTCTTCCCCATCATCTCCCACCTCTCCTGTGTTTGAGACAGCAACGCAACACGGGGACCTTGCTCCTTGTGGGAGCTGAGGGACTCGTGTTCAGAAAGAATTAATTTCATTAATTTTGCTGTTATTGTTACCGTCCCAGCGCTGCTGTGTTTCCCCGACCTTAACAAACCTTGCTTTCAAGGGAGCAAGCTGTTTTCCTTCTGGCCTGGAGGAAAGGAAGGGGTGTTGTTACCTCCAGTTCTGTGTCCCTGAGGTGGGACAGCGCTCAAATGCTGCCACTGTTCGTGTCCCTGCACCAGCCTTTTTGTCCTGTTCGGGTCTGAAGTTGGAAGGGATGGAAGTGGTTTTTGGAAGAGGATGGGAGGTGATCCTCTTGGCCTCACCGCTGAGGTTGCCGGCAGTTGCGCAAGTAACCGTTTCTGTTCTCTTCCCAGGCTTCCTGAAACTGAATCCTCCTCTGCACGGTGGCGTTGCAGGGCTCAGCCCCTGCTCGTTTGCGGGGCGGTCAGTTCCCTCTCCCACGGGGATGGAAACGCAGCAATTAAAACTTCCTTAAAGGCCTGTTGGAATATAGCACTGTGTAAAGCACTGCACCCTTCTCTGCCTAACTCGATTCAGGTTCATTTGATGTATGTAATAGTCCCAGCCTGGGGGATCGGCTGCAGGCGAGGCACAGCCCCGCAGAAGCAGCTCGGCTCCTCGTCGCTGTGCGGTCAGAGGGGCTGGAGGGACGTGTGTCACAGCTCTGCTCTCCTGGCGGCGCCGGACGGCCCCGGTATCGGTGCTGCAGCTGGTGTTGTGAATCAGGCCGACGACAAGCGCATCCGACTATCCGGCTATTTCACTACACCAGGGTGGCACCATACCACTCGCTTCGCTCCTCGCCCGGCGGCTGCAGTCAGCGTGGCTTCCCGGAGCACCGCGTTTAACAGAGACCCTGCCCTGTTGAAGAGACTCCGTGGTCTGTGCTGCTTTGGGCAAGTTCTGGTTTTGCTGACATGATAAGGTTGCAAAATAAAGCAGTTTCTGCTGGGCAGGAGTCTGCTGCTGCTTCTGTTGCTTTGTGAGTGGAAACCGATGTCCTCCTCGCAGGAGGTTGTTGCAGGAAGTGCTTTTCCCTTGTTTCCTTGTGTGTTTCTCACACTTCTCCCGGCTCACGGCAGCGGGTGTCAGGAACGGCGGCGGCACCGCCTGCGCCGCTGTGCTCTGCGCTGCTGGGAGGGCTGAGCCATGTGGGTGCGGGCAGGGCCTGTCCTCAGCTCCCCGGGTACGTGGGTGCGTGCCAGCCCGCGCGGGGCTCCTGCAATTGCAGGCGGCATCTGCTCGCACACAAACGATACCGGGAGGTGAAGCGAGTCCTCGAAAAGCGGGTTCAAATCTGTGCGTGAGTGCAGCCGGAGGCAGCGGGGCCGGCAGCCCCAATTTTCCATTAACTTGCAAAGCACACGGGGCTGAAATTCAAACGGGCTCTGGTACTGCCCTCAAACTCGGATTTTATTGCCTGCCTTGTTTGCTGTCTCTGCCGATCTTATCTGTAACTGCTTTTAAGGGCACATGGGACACCGGGCTGCAGAGGCATGAGAGACGCCCGGCCCTCCCCCTGTCCTCACTCCCGGTGGCCGTGCGGTGACCGCTGAGTGGCAGCGTGGTCTCGGGCCATGCTTTGTGAGATATAGGGAAGGGTTTACGTGGTTCATTACATCAAGGATGGGGTTTGGGGGAGTTTTGGGCCCTCGGTGCTCAGCAGTTCCCCCTCCCTGGGGTCAGGAGGGAAGGAGCTGTGGGACTGTGGGCATCTCTGCTGCCACCCCAGCCCGGGGTGGTCACAGAGGGTTTGGGTCTGACACTGCTCAGTGTCCCCTGACTCCTCCATCCCCCTTCCCAGCCCCTCGGCGTCTGATCCCAGACAGGGCCATCCCTCCCTTCCCTCAGTGTCCTGCTTTCTTCCTTCCCCTGGTTTCACCGTGACAAAAAGGGGCCATTTCCCTCCCTG